CACAGGTTCTTTTTCTTTAAGAAATTCTTTTTTATTCATTTTATATATCAGTCAAAGATCCCCCTCTTCCCTCCTCCCACCCCTCAAGTCTTCCCCTCCTAACCCATCCCCTATTCCCTCCTACAAGAAGGTAAGACCTCCCATGGCGAGATACATTTTTAGTAGAGGCAGGTCCAAGCCCCTCCTCCTGCCTCAAGGCTGTGCAAGGTGTCCCATCATAGATAGTGGAATCCAAAAAGCCTGCTCATGCACCAGGGATGGATTCTGATTCTACTGCCATGAGGTCCCTTAAGCAGATCAAGCTACACAATTGTCTTGCTATGCAGAGAGCCTAGTCCAGTCCCATGAAGGCTCCACAGCTGTTGATCTAAATTTCATGAGTTCCCACTAGTTTGGTTTGGTTGTCTCTGTAAGTTTCCCCATCATGATTTTGATGCCCTTGCTCATAGAATCCTTCTCTCTCTTCAGTGGGACTCCTGGAGCTCCACCTTTACCACAGGTTCTTTTAACTAATCTGGAAATTTTCAAACTCCTTACCATAGTCCATAAACCCATATAAGTTCTTGCCAAGAGACAGTCTTCTTTTTTGCTCTTTGAACAGCAAACTCATTTAGCCAAGTCTTGCTCAAATGCAATCTTCAAGCAGTTACTTAAAGTACCCTTTATCAACTTCTCATTTCAGTACCCTGTTTTAGTTCCTCACAGCTCTTTCCCTACCTTTCAAATATTTTTACTTTGTTTAGATCTCTTCTTCAATAGAATTTAAATTTCATGAGCATATGTTTCATTCATGGCCAAATGTCAAATATGTGAAACAGATTTAATCCACATGACAGGCACTCAAAGACAATTTTTGAATACATTAATTAACATCTTGTATGTAGTATAAACTTTTCATTAAAAATGAGAAAGAAGCTAAATGGAAGAAAAATGGGAACATGATTTTAAAGAACATATTGAATTATTTGATTGAACCAATGCCCATACAATTCATCCAAAGAAAATAAAAGGTAATCAGATTCCTTGGCCCCATCACTTGATAAGTTTGTCCATATTATACTTATTAAAGTAACTCTGTATTTTCTTGAAAAGTTATGACTAGTGATTAAAGTGATATAGCAATAAATTTAAAAATTAATATCTAAGATCTCCAAGATTTTTCTGATTTATTGATGATCCTCACTGGAGTTCATTACTTTTATTTTCTTTTTTAACAATAACAGAAAATAACGAAGCTACTTAACAAGAACAACCAAATTTCAAATGTAAGAATTAGACAAATAAAAACAGTATTAACTTGAAAATTTGTAATTAAAGGTATCCTTAAATAAGTCACATAACTGTACCCAGAACATCCCCTTTACAACTGCATTTAAGATACAGTTATTGCTTGTCTACTGATTGTATTTGATTTTTAAAATTCTTTTGTAAGAGAGAATAAGAACATTCAGGTGCTAATTAACATATATATTAAATATAAAATTTAAATCTTTATACATGGTTTATCTGACTTCTTATTCCCCATCAAGCAACAACAAGAAAATTTAATTTATAAGACTGTTACTAAATGACCTGTCTGTAAACCGAGGGGATGTGAGTGCTCTAAGTGTTGTTTTGATATAATCCTTTCTGGTCTACTATGGTTAACCAGAAATGAGAAGAAAATTTTTACCAGGCATTATATAGATTTCCTAAGAGAACCTTTTGGTGACAGTTTCCTAATACTTCTTAATTATCTAATATGGTAGGTACAACGGTATCAGATTTGGTACTAACAATAAACAGCGCTATGTTTACATTGGTTGGTATTTTCCACTGTGTTAATAACCTCATGGATAATAAAGTTTTCTGTTTTACTAGACCCTTTAGATAAGAGACCTGGAGACTAAGACAACAACATGGATGCTTCAAAGTCATGTCTAGTTCTTGTTAAAGAGCTAGGTATCAGATACTATGATGATCTGATACATGAAAATATCAGATATGGATATATAATAAATATTGAGTTTTGAAGTGATTCCATATTTAGAAAATATCAATATCCTACATAAGGTTTTGTTTTTCCTTCAGCTATGTAGCCATGTGTTTGTTTGTTTTTTGAGATAGGGTTTTGCCTTAGTCAATGTCTATTGCTGTGAAGAGACACCATAACCAAAGCAATCCTTAAAAGAGAAAGCATATAATTGGGGACTTGCTTAGTTTCCGAGGGTCAGTCCATTATCATAATGGCAGGGAGCATGGTGGCATGCATGGCACTGGAGCTGTGGCCAAGAGCTACCTCCTGACCCGCTGGCAGTAAGGCAGAGAGATACTGGCCTTGACATGGGCTTGTGAAACTTCAAAGCCCCACCCCTAGTGACATACTTTCTCTAACAAGGCCACAATTCCTAAACCTTCTAATCCTTTCAAATAGTGCCATTCCCTGGGCCTCTAGGGGTCATTCTTATTCAAACCACCAGAGGTCTCATGTGGACCAGGGTGGCCTCAAATTTACTAGCTATATAGCTGTGGATGACCTTTACTTTTGTATCCCCTGCTTCTACTTAACAAGTGCAAGGATTGTGGGTGTGCACCAATATGCCTGCTTTTTGTGGTGCTAGTGACTAAACCAGGGCTTTATGCATATCTGGAAGCCATTCTACCAACTGAGCTAAACTCTCAGCCCAGCTATACAGCTTTTTCTTGATTTTTCACATTAGATCTGGTATTATATACATACAAAATTAATACATTTTTCTCTAAATCTAGCCTTATGTAATTTTTTTTTTGTTGGAAGAATGTACCTTATTTCTACCAAGTATTTGCTTTATATAAGTTAATAAAGAGAGACTTATTTGAAATTCTATAATTTGATATTCTGAGACTATGTAGGAAGAGACAAAACTAACATTCGCATGTAAAGGGCAGATACAGATGAAATGTAACATGCCTTCCAGAGCTGAGCACAGCAGTACACACCTATAATCAGAACACTTGGAAGGCAGAGGCAAGAGGATTATGGAACTTCGAGACCATATATAGCAAGTTCATGCCAGCCAGGGCCACACAATGAGATCTAGTCACAAAACAAACTAGAACAACAAAGCGACTTCTAGCAGACACACTTTCCACAATGACTGCCCACTAACAGAGGCTAAGACACAGCACTTTCCCCAGTGCCCGCTGGCAGCTGTCATTTACTACATGATTTCTACAGCTCAATAAGGGCCCTGAGTTCTACAAATGGTAACCTTGGTAAATGTAACACGCCACTAAACTCTAAATCCTCCTCTTGCCATCCTCTGACATCACATTTTCTGCCTGCCAGTGGTTCTGGCCCACCTTGAGCTCTCCTGCCATCATTTGTCCTCTGTCAGTTTTTGTTTTATGCCTTCCTTAGAGGGTTCATTTAACTCCTGATCTTTGGGCTCTGGGAGGATTCTCCAGCTTTCTTTGGTTTTATTTCTCTGTTTAGACTTACTAAATGTTCCAGCTTTGTTTCTATACACTTTATTAATGTGACAGGGTTAAAGCACTTAAGTATGCAATCTACCTTTATTTAATTTTTACATGTCTTACACATTGTACCATTATTATTCTTTAAGTCTTCCAGAATAAATTTATTTTACTTTTTAAGAGGGCTGGAGAGTTGCCTCAGTGGTTAGCAATGCTTGTTGCTCTTGCAAAGAACTTGGGCTCCATTCCCAGCACCCACATGGAGGCCTACAATGCTTTCGATCTCCAGGTCAGGCAATCTGGCGCCACCCTCTGACTGCCACAGGCACCAAGCATACATGTATTACACACACACACATGAAAGCAAAACAATCATGTACATAAAACTAACAACCCTAAAGACAAATGAAAAACAATTTTACTTTTCATCTATTCTAGTGTCCGAACAACTAGCTGACTTCCTGGTGCTTCCTTCGTAGGTTCCTGCACCTGCCTCTTCATTTACTCATGTGGCTATAACTCCATCCCTGACTGCTTTCCATAGACAGAAGTTAAGTGTCCTAAAACTGCTTCCAGCTGCCTCTCTTTGGACAGAAAACTCGAGGCGCCTCATAGACTCCAACAGTCTTCCCAAGGCCTGAGAAGCATTTACTTAAGCACATTCCACTAGATCAAAGGCTTTGTTCAACTTTATTTCTGGAAGTCAATATCTAAATGTGGTTTTAACCAATTCTTCAAAACTGTTCTATTTGCCACAAATTATACAGGATAAAACTAGTCTTTGCTTAACTGTAATCATTTCGATAACCCAAAGTGCTTAGTCAATCTGTATGTTTCTACATTTTTACAGAAACTCTCCATTCAAGCCAAACTGGTATGTTTACTGGTCACTAACCATACCATTCACATGCTACCACAGACTTAGATGAACCTTATAGGTACTTCCAAGTCCAGTCCAAGTTCCCATTGACCAGCCATGTGCTGGTTTTCACTTCTCCTGTGGTATCAACTCCATACTCAGAAAAGAACTATAGTCTCTTTCCCCTCTTATATGTAGTAACTGTTTTCATTGTTCTTGTATTTATTTTTGGGATATTTATCTTTGGTCTTCCCACTTACACTGTATTTGTTTAAAGGCAAGGCTCTTACTTTCAAAACTTCAGCTTTATTACATTGTTTTTAGTATATCAATTTAAGTATAACAGAGGTCTAAGTTTTGCATTTAATTTGAAAGAGCTAATGATCCTGTAAAATTATATGACTTTTCTAATGGAGTTGTTCATGTAACTGAAGATAGAATCAATTTTACAGGAACTAAGAAATTCTCTGACAAAAATTCTCACAACTATTTTGTTAAAAAAACCTTTACTGGGTAATAAATTCTTAACTTAGTTTTTTCTTTATCATTCTGTAAGTTGTTCACTCCTACTTTCACTACATAAGCACATAAGAGAAAGCAGGGAAGGCAGAAGTGAGATAATCTGTTATTTTGATCATTTCTAGCCTTGGTTGCTGTGTTTTGAAACTGGGAACGTGGGGGCACTGAGAGGCAAAAGCAGTCTTACCGAAGTCTGCAAATGCTGACTGTCCAACCACCACCAGGTTTTTAGGTTTTTCAAAGACACTACTGATAGAGAAGTTTCCATCCTGTAAAACCAAACCAAAACAAACAAACAAACAAAAAAGAAAACAACTATCAATTAGGCCATCATAATGCATTCATCTGTCAAGTGAGAAACTCAAGAGAAAAATACTTTAATCCTCTTGTTCTTTCTCTAAAAGCATCCCAATCTCCTATCCAGCTTTATTATCAGAGGAGTCACAGTGAGCCACAGAAGACTCTTGTGGTTTGCTTGTTCTTTGCGATTGTCCCATGATGCTTATCACCCCTGTACTCCAGTTCTACACCTCTAATCAATTCTGTGAATCACTCTTCTAAATTATGGTTCTTCCCACTCCATGTTAGCTATTTCCTTTGTCCTTTCTATTTCTGTGGTGGAAACACAGCACAAGTTACCATTACATTAATATATATCCTACCTTCTCAATATATCCTACCTTCTCATAGCTACCTTTTTTCATCCATTTCCAACATGGTATTCAAGTAACTCACCTTCCCTAAGTTACTGTGAATCTTGCTCATATTACTGTACCACTTCCAGGTATTCTCTATCAAACCATCTGATATGGAGTAGTAGCCATAGTAACTGGGATAACAAAAGTTCCATTCATCTTCCTCTCAGTCTGAAACCATTTGATAGCTTCTTAATAGATTAACAAAGAGCTAATTACTTAGAGTAGAAGTCAAGACCATGCTAATCTTGTCTAAAGCAGTTTTTCTAATCTTACTTTTCAATATTTCAAATCATCTCTCTTCTACTCTCTGAATGCATTTGGTGATTTCTGTACACATCACTTCTTGCCTGTCTCCTCCTCTGACTTCCCCACTAAAACCCTACTAGCCATTTCAAAAGCTGACTCTTTCCTAAAGCCTTCACTGCTAATCCTGGGTGAGGCAGAGAGAGGCAACTGCTCCTCATATTTTGGCTTCTGTAATGTAAGGTTCATCTCTCTCCTCACATCTCCTGGTGAGGAGGCGTCATTGACATATCAGTCTTGGCTGTCCTGGACCACACATCTTGATTTCTCAGAGTGTGATCACTGAGCTGAGCATGTATATGCTCTAGAAAAGTCTTGCTGCTGCAGCTTCAGTGTTCTACTAGTTAATGTGGCTTTATATATTTAAGGTTCTATTTGGTCAACTGATAAATTACTGCAAAGTACTTGACCAGTCTTTTACTAAAACTGGCCAGCTATGTAGCATGAGTCTTAAAAGGTCTTATTATTAAGAACGAACCTCAAGCTAGGTATTGGGGTGAATGCTGGAAGATCAGAGAAGCAGAACAAGCCACAGCTTCCTCGCCTCGCCAATTCCTCAGCTGATCCTGTTTCCTCAGACTGGAGGCCTCTGAGTCCTCATCCAAATAGATCTCAGCTGAACTGCTGCTAAAAGTGTAAAAGCTTAACCAGCCTAGTTCCCTGTTCTCATGCCTTAAATACCTTTTTGCTTTCTGCCATCACTTCCTGGGATTAAAGGCTCTTGTTACCACACCTGGCTGTTTCCAGTGTGGCCTTGAACTCACAGAGATCCAGGCAGATCTCTGCCTCTATAATGCTAGGATTAAAGGCGTGTGTGCCACCATTTTCTGGCCTCTATATCTAGTGGCTGTTCTGTTCTCTGACCCCAGATAAGTTTATTAGGGTGCACAATATTTTGGGGAACATAATATCACCACACAGCTATTTTATGAATACTGTTATCTTATTGAGTTAATTTTCAATATATATTTCCCTTCATTTATATTAGTGATATACTTAGTGAGTACTGACACAAGGTCTCTCTTTGTATAACTTCTATTAGGCTCTTTTAAGAATTCTACTTAGCTCAAACCTGGCCTTTCATCTCCATCCTTATAGAATTACAAAAAATGCAACTAAGTTAGGTTGGCCAGAACCCCTTCTTCCTTCAGTTAACTAATAGCTCTGGCTTGCCTTGAGCTAGGATCCTGTTAAGTGAGTTCAGACAAAGATCATTCTTTCCTCTTAGTAACGTTATTCTTTTGTTCCTTGGCTATAAAAATTTCACATTTTTTTTTTATTTGTAGTTGAGCCCAATACTCTCATCCCTATATCAAAGCCCCATTGTAAGTAGTCTCCCTAAATCAAACCCATCTTTCCATCTTTAGCAAGTGTTTAATTAAAAAGATTTTGTTTTTAAAAACATTTTAATTTTTATTTTATACGTATGGGTGTTCTGCCTGCATTTATGTCTGTACATCACATGCATGCAGTGCTTGTGGAGGCCAGAAGGTAGCACTGGATCACTTAGGACTGGAGTTGTGATCCACCATGTGGGTGCTGAGATTTGAACTCAAACCCAGGGTCCTTGAAAGAGTAGCTGGTGCTCATAACAACTGAGTGGTCTCTCTAGCTCCCTGGCTATTTTATTTGTTTTATTTTTGATTTTTGCTTGAGACAGGGTCTCATTATATAGCCTTGCCTGGCCTGGAATGTGCCATGTAGAGCAGGCTGGCCTCAACTCACAGAGATCTGTGTGCCTCAACCTCTCAAGTGCTGGGATTAAAGACATGTATCACCATGACTAGCTTTTTATCCAAGTGTTTGGATAATTTTTACTTTAATGGTTACTCATTGACCCTGTCACTTTATTAAAACAACTTAGTTTATGTTAATAAAAATATTTGTTTTCTTTAAAGGAAAAAATTTTATAGACAAATGATCTCAATCAAGAATCTGTATTCTTCATGAACCTCGTTTTGCTATGCTTGATCACCTGTAAATCAGGCTATAATGAGAGGGTCCTGTGCATGTAAAAGTGTTTCATAATTTCATATACAAATTCTACTTATTTGTATCAAGGCTTGCCCACACATCCCCAGTATAAATTAATCAAACAGGTCTTGTGTGCTCTAAGCTCGAGATTTACTTGAGGTAGGAATGAAAGGCCATCTTCAAGCAAGTGTTCTTTAGCAGTGCGAGTCTTAGTGTCAACTATAAGAAATACACTAACAAGATTTCTGTCATCAGACACAGAAATGCAGTTACATTTTAAACCCAGGACACTGACCAAGGTTACTGTGTATTCCACCATTTTTCTCACCTTTCCCTGCCCTGTTAAAAACCAACTGAGTGAGTCACCTAGAGGCAGTCAGAGGCTTTGATCCCGCTTGAACAGGAACTATAGCAACATCATTGGCCTTTGGGGGGCAGGAGACAACTAAAGGGAAAAAAAGGCCGGGCACTGGTGGCGCACGCCTTTAATCCCAGCGCTCGGGAGGCAGAGGCAGGCGGATCTCTGTGAGTTCAAGACCAGCCTGGGCTACAGAGTAAGATCCAGGACAGCTAGGGTTACACAGAGAAACCCTGTCTTGAAAAACAAACAAACAACAAAAAACAACATAACAAGAAGTGACTTTCCAGCAATCTCTTCCCATGAGTTTGTGCTGTACATTTGCTACAACTGATTATTTACTATCAGAATTCTCATAAAATCTAGGGAATGGCTTTAATTTGGACTGAATAAAAGACAACCAGATAATCAGGAGTAATTAGGTGGAAAATCAAAAAGTCTAAAACTAAACTTTGATGCCTACTCTGCACCCTTGTGCTTTCCTCGCAAATATTCTACTGAACAGACTATTTAGCCCATTTTCCATGAGGAATGAGACTTTCATACTTGACTAATATGTGACAAATGTCACTGAGTTGGCCATTTTTACTGACCTTGAATTCTACTTTCCATCATGCAGCTTGAAATTGGCTTTGATATTTCTGGTGGTTTGCTCTTTGTTAATTTATCTTTCATATGACCTATATTAAGCTAAAAATCAAAGCATGAAACTGCCTTGAAAACTTATTAACTATTAACACCTATGGGGAAAGACTCCTTAATCTCAGTCAACCTGGCAGTAAATTGTCATTTGTTTTTAATTATTCTTCTAAAAATTAATTTTGTTTTTTTGACACATTCATATAGTTGTATAATGTATTTTGATTATGCCATCCCATCTTCTCTTATCTCTCCCAATTATTTAGTTCTCCATGTAATTATGTAAGCCTAAAGGTGAGGAGAAAAAAATTACTTTTTTAAAAAAAGTTCACAAATCATCAAGCTGAAAAATTAAATGTCAGTATCCTCTTTCAACAGCTGTCAGGCCAGCAGGGGTCCTGTTAACATCCCCATTAGAGCAGGCTTATTGCTTTAATTGGCAGTCATGCCTAAAGACCTGCAGAACCTGATGCTTAAGCAACCACTTCCTTCAGTATTCAGTAGTCTGAGTGCAGCAATGCAAGCAAGGGCTCTTAATGCTCTTCTGTTTATTACTGCAACCAACCACATGATCACAGTAACCTCATTTTATAAGACTGTGTGCCTTTATGCAAAGCGAGAATTTAAAAATGCTTCAGAGAAATGATTTCTTACCAGATTTTCCCATATCTCAAACTGGAAGGTATTAGAGGCAGACAATGTTGTGAGGAATAAATCTAGAAGGAAAACAAACAGCGATGTAAATTTTTGTAGTCATACTGATGTTTATACATTTAAAAGCAGGAAGAAGCCATACATAGAATAGTTATTAATATATTTCTACCTTAACATAAATTGTTTGATTATATTTTAGCAAATTTGATCACATTTTTAAAAAATGCAGATGACCTTGAATAGAACAATTAAGAAAAATGTACTCTTCATTGTTAAGAGCACATTTGCTATGAGACCTCCAAATGCAATCTGTATTTTCAGGGACAATTATTTCCAGCTTTTTCTTTTTGTTCCTTTTTTGTAGAGATGGGGATAGAACTCAGGTTTATACATGTCAATAAACCACTATCTTTCACCTATAAGCCTGGTCCTAGCTTTTAAAATTTTATTTTATTTTTGAGAAAGTCTCTCTATGTAGCCCTAGCTGTCTTGGAACTCCCTCTGTAGACCAGGGTAGTCTCAAACACATAGAGAGCCACCTGCCTCTGCCTCCCGAGAGCTGGGATTAAAGGCGTGCGCCACCACACCTGGCTCTTAAATCTTCTTTTATTTCAAGGTACACTATTTCGAGCACAATCAGTTTACATTTTCACCCTTAAAGCTGCCTCTGTCTATCACAGGATGGTCCAGCACCATGTTCAATCTCAGCACCCAAAATCTTTTAGCTCACATTAAGTGGGCAGTAAGTCAGGCTTACTATTCTGAGTAACAAAAGGTTTGTCCTCATAAACTAACACTACAGGAAGTGACTACAAAGTGCATGGGTAAAATGTCTCTAGGAAACAATAGGTTGATAGAGAAATCAAACACCCTCTTAATGCCAAGGTCAGGCAAATGAGCATTTATTTGAAGAATATAACTTATTTTTTTTTATAACAGCAATTTTACCTAGTGACTATTAAAGGTCTGAAGCCTAGTAGGTGACTCTTGGAATTTTAAAGTGGTTTCACTCTCATATGCTCTAAAATTGCTATTATTCATTATGACTCCAGACCACGAATATTTTAAAGAAATGCTTTTCCCCAACATGATGCTTAGGAAACTAGCAGTCACATTTTATTACTTTGTGTCAAATTTTATACAAGTTTATGAAGGTGGTGTATGTAATTATTATAGCTTGGTTCAAAGAACTTGAACTAATTTGCTCACTCTTATAATTAGCTGAACTCAGACTCCTGGCTCCGGGGAGAATAATTTTTATGTCCACACATCAAATCCTCAGCATTTGCTACGATCAGTCTGAAGACACTCTGCCTCTAGACAGAGAATTGTAGCATTTGATGAAGATGACTGATACCTTTATTGTCACAGGCATACTCTGGCTGAGGTATTCACTTTCACATTTATTTGGCAGCATTTGGGATTTTGGTGATGACAAACCTACCAGCAATCTCCTCTCATTTGGCTATGCATTCTCCACTTACAACAATTAACCAAATGCGAAGTTGTTTTCATTCCTTTTATTCTGATTGTAGTACACATCTTTCATCTTCCATGGGAAAGCCTTATTATCTGTTTCTCTGCTCCTTCCCTCCTACTCACACAGGTACACTCTAACAGAGCAGTTGCCATCGGATTTTACCATACTTTCCCCGTCTACTTGCATCTACATGTGCACTCCATCTGTACTTGCCCTTTGTGCTGGCTAGTTTTATGTCAACTTAACACATGTTATAGGAACCTGAGAGGAGGGAACTGCAATAGAGAAAATGCCTTCACAAGACTGGGATGTAGCCTGTAGAACATTTTCTTAAATAGTGATTGATGTGGGAGGATCCAGCCCATTGTGGGTGGTACCATCTTGGGCTTGTGACCTTGGTGCTATAAGAAAGCAGACTGAGCCAAGCCATGAAGAGTGAGCCCACAAGTAGCACTGCTCCACAGCCTCTGTATCAGCTTCTGCCCAGTTTCATTCCTGCCTTGGCTTTCCTCAGTGGACCGTGACTTAGGATGGGTAAGCCAAATAATCCCTTTCCTCCCCAAGTTGCTTTGGTCATGATGTTTCATCACAGCAGTAAAAACCCTAAGATACTCTTATACTTCAGAGTCACCTTGTAAATGAATTCTTCAAAATTGGCTCAAATTTCTCCCTTTCCTTCCAGATCTTTCCTTGAGGCGCAGCATTTTCCCCACTGTTACTCCATGGTGACATTCTGAATTCACACATGTCTTTGGAGTTTCTTGGGTGTGGGAGTCTTGCTTAATTGATTATTTCTGTGGTTTCTATGTACTTGGAAAGAGTATGTGTTCAAATTATTATTGAGCAATTAAATGTGATTGGCTGTGATAGCTATTCTTGGTTGTAAACCTGAGTATATCTGAAATTAACTAAACACCAAAATGGATGGGCATACATGTGAGTGATTTTTTGCTTAATTAAATCATTTGAAGTGAGAAGATCCACTTCCAATCTTCTGCTTCTTCTTCCTTTTTCCTCTTCTTTTTCCTTCTTCCTCCTCTTCTTCTTTTTCCTTCTTCCTCTTCCTCTTCTTATTCTTTTCCTGCTTACTCTTGCTCTCACTAGCAAGTTCATTCCTTCACCGGCATTAGAATCTACTTCTTTGGGATTCTGGCATATACTAAAGCCCAGCTGAGACAGCCTTGTGGATGGAGTAACCATTGTATTCTTGGACCTTCTATTCACACACCTCCATTTTTGGACTAGTTGGGCCACAGTAAGTCATTCTAGTAAATCCCATTATATATACATATATATACACACACTCTCTCTCTCTCTGTCTCTCTCTGTCTCTGTCTCTCTCTCTCTCTCTCTCTCTCTCTCTCTATATATATATATATATATATATATATACTTTCTATAAATTCTGTTACTCTAGAAAACTCTGACTAATATACTGGTCATGGTGACTACTAAGAAGAATGTACACGATAATGCTTTTAAATGATTTGAAAAGGTAGCAATAGCTGGGCAGTGGTGGCACATGCCTTTAATCCCAGCACTTGGGAGGCAGAGGCATGTGGATCTCTGAGTTTGAGGCTAGCCTGGTCTACAGCTCAAGTTCTAGTTCAGCCAGGAATGCACAGAGAAACCTTGTCTTGAAAAACAAAACAACAACAAAAAAAAACAACCCCAAAACAAACAAAAAAAGAAAGAATAGAAAAGAAAAGGTAGCAATCAGCATATTAAAGTGATTTGGGATTAATAAGGATTATTACTCACAGAAGAATCAGAATCACTAAAAATGCATTTGATATAAATCCTGAGATCCTTGAAAGCAGTAAACGCAGAAGAGAGGCAGCCATGCCTCTACTACAGGACAACTGGGCACAGGTCAGAGTTCTTCAGACTAAATGGCACATGTCACTAAAACGGTGGGCTTGTTTAGTGGTAAAGGAGCTAGAATCTTCTGGACAAAGATTCAAAGGCTCAGTGCAGATCTTCAGGGGCCTGGAGCTACTTTGTTACCACACATAGTAGATAGCAGCAAGCAATTTATTGCCACTGTTAGAAGACAATTCCTTTTTCCTGCTGGTGCTGTATGAGTCTTAGCATAGTGATCGCATAAAATGTGGTAAATTATTAACTTCTTGCTTTGTGCATATTTGAAAAATTTAAGAACTATAACATACAGTGCTACTATTTTTATAGTTTCACTAGCTGCTTGTTAAAACTGTGTAAAGCACTAAAGCTACATGAGGAAGTGTAGTAAAGCTATACTTGAAGTGCCTTGTAGATAGATTTAAAAAAAAATCTCATTTCAGTTTTGAATTATGTAAAGAGGTTATAGAAAAATGTTTACTACTTGGAGAAATAAAATAGAAATGATTAATTATTGATAACTCATTATAAAGAATCAATCATATTTCAGAGTGAATAAAATAACTACTAGAAAAAATCTTTAGGACATCAGCTATGAGACAGTGTCTTCTACGTATGATAGGGAAGCTGCATCCATGAAACTGCAGCAATAACCTGAACAATGACAATACTAGCTGACATGCCAAGGTTGCCTCTCACAAGGCCATATCCCTAAATGAAGAACTAAGGCAACTGATGTGTACTCAGAGAGGGAGAATCAGGCTTTTTCAGCAACAAGTCTGATAACCCTGATAGTCAGAAGCCCCCCTGTAGTCAGTCCTAAACACATATTCATATGAACAATATTCATTGGACTCAGAAGGTTGTATCTATATATACGTATGTGTCCGTGTGTATATGTGCATACATAAATATTAGAATCAGTCTTCTCCAGGGACAAGCCTGATAATCCTGATAGGTCATAGGTCAACCCTGTAGTCAGCCCTAAACAACACCAGAGGGACTCAAAAGGTTGTATTCATATATACATACATATATACATATACATATAAATAAATAATAGGTCATGCATTTGAGAGATAGTGAAAGAGACATGAGAAAAGTTGAAAAAGGGAGTGGAAGGGGTGGAAATGATGTAAATTTAGTTCTTATGTGTGAAATTCTAAAAGATAATTAAAACAACATTAGAGACCTACACGATGGCTCAGTGGCTAAAGATGATTGCCACCAAGACTGATAACCTGAGTTTGATTTGAAGGTCACACAAGGTAGAAGCAGCTAATTGACTAGTAAATTGTTCTTTGCCCTCCACAGGGGTGTACCCCCACCCCCACTTCACCACACATACAATAAATACATGTAATAAAAAAGAAAAAAGTTTAGTCAAGAAAGCAACAAAGCCTCTGTCTCTCTGATGGGTAAGAGTAAGTTACACAATAAAATGAAAGAAAATGCACCCAAGATAATGCTAATGGATGCTCCCAGATCACCTCTCAGGAGTGAAGGATTTACCTGAAGAGCTGTGGGTAGTTCTGCTCTTAGACAGCCCTAAGTAGTCAGTATTTGGAAGAGGTTTTGAGAAACCCACACTCAATAACCTGTCAGTTTACTGGCAAGAGCATGGATCCACAAAGAATTCAGGGTAACCCTGTGTGGTCATTGCCTCTATGTTCACAGCTCGCATATAGTTATAGTCAGTTGAAATTTTAAGTGACATTAGAT